CCCCAAAACCCCAAAACCCCAAAACCCCAAAACCCCATTGTTTATAAAATAATAGAAACATGAAAATATCGAATGTGAGTAAGAATTTGGTCGTATCGTATATGACCTTCGACAGTATGATCAATGCCTTGATGTTCTTGAACCAGTTTGCTAATGCAGGAATGGCCAGCTTTTCTAATGGGTTTATGAATACACAGCTCGGATCGAGGAGAAGCTTGACTTTCTTCCATCGTCATCTATGGATAACAATTTTTACATTCATTTTGACAGTTCTTAAGGGCCAACTTAAATTCCCTGGCAAACAAAATTTACACTTTCTCGTTGTTTCAGGAACATTGGGAGTCTTTCTAAACTTTCAGTTAATTTCAAAGAATGCAGGTATCTTTACACTTCCTTTCATGATGCTCTTCCAGCCCTTGTTCCCTGTTTTTATCCTCTGAGGTATAATTGCTCTTAAACTGGATAGATGGACGCCAAGGAAGGTTATCGGATCAATCCTATGAGTATTGTCTGTGCTATCCTATGTAACTTTCTATAATGTAACAGATGAGCAAAGGTTTTTCAAAAACTTCTTTATGACTATTCAAGTGACTACACCTGCAATGGGGGCTATTTCTCTCAGATTTGCTGTGTTAAAAGGAAATCTTGGAGTATTCAACATTGCTTTTTGGGCATCATTTTTTGCAACTATTAATGCATTCATTTACTACTCAATTCAATATTGGCTTGAACCAAGCCCTCCATTCTTTAGTCCTACCTATCAGTTTGGTCTCTTAAGAATCGCGACTATCTGGATATTTAGGATCATTGTTGATGCCTTCAATGTATGCACGTTCGTGTATCTAGCATCTAAAAGGAAGATTGCAAAGGCTGCTTGCTTTGTGACCTTGAATGCTTTCTTCGTTATCATATTCAACATCTTTTTGGGAACTTATGACGTTTGGATTTTCCCATATTTGATTTTTATTTATTCTGGATACAGTCTGATTGCTTATGACAGAAAGAGAGTATTCGAAAAGAGAATGATGAAATTAGTCAAGATTAAGTTTATCTCTCAAGTCGCCCAAGATCATAAGGAAGTTGTATATGATAATTTCAGTTATAACCCTGATATGACCAATGAGGAGCTTATGGCAACAGTGAGTACGTATCTTTCAACTTTTTTTATCCTCTCCAATTTTTCTTTATTTTTAATATCCTATTTTTCTTCAGACCAGGTTGCATTGATAAATAAAAAGAGGACTAACTTTGAAAAGCCAAGGAAATCAATAGAGGAGAAGAAAATTGATTTTAGAGAGGATTACTTAGAAGATTCCACCGAATCTGTTAGGCTAAAAGCCAAAAATAAGGTTATCAGTAAAGAACAGGAAGTCTATCTAGAGTAAATTACAAAGTGTTGAAATTTTAGGAAATCGTATGCTCAAATAAGGAAAACAAGAAAGGATAAAGGATTAGATTCTAGTGACGATTCATCAGAAGATTCATCTTAATTTCTTTTAAACATTTTACAATGAAAATTAGACCTCCATACTACATATCACACCTCTTCTACCAAAACTTTTAAGTAAATCTTCTCTCCTGTTTCCAAAAGTTGTTTCTCTCGCCTCAAAACCCCAAAAATTCATAACTTCCCAATCTCCCCAAAACCCTCTCCAATCCCACCCCAAAACCCCCTTCCCCCTAATTCCCCATCCTTCCCACTCTCCTCCCTTCACAACCCCTCCTTTTCCTCCTCACTGTGACCACAAAGTTTCCAAGATCTGTGCTGTAGAGTAACAAGGGTCGAGGACTTGGATTAGGACTAAGGGGCTAAGGCTGTAAGATAATTTTAGGTTTGGGTATGGGGTAGATCAGGTGGGAGGAAGAGGGTGGAAGTGGGTGATTGGGTAGAGTAGGATATTAGGGGTTGGGGCAGGGACAGGGACTTTCTGGGGATGGTGGATTATCGAATTAGATGGAACTTTTAATGGGGTGGTAGTAAATAGGGCAGTTTTGTGGAGCTAATACAATATACATTCAGAGGAGGTACATGGAAAACAGACCTTAAAAATGAAGTATAATGATTTAGGATAAAGTGGATATTAGAAATATCCCCTCAAGCCGGATTTATTCTAGAAGAATTCAAGTGACAAAATTTATGATTTTGAAGTGGTATGATTAATAAATATGCTCCTAGCTATTTCAAACGTAGAAACATAGAATTGGGGTTTTGGGGTTTTGGGGTTTTGGGGTTTTGGGG